GTTAGTCACCCAACAAGAACTACTCTGCAACTTGAGTGATCGAGTGGTTAGTGAATGTCCTTGTCGCATATTGTATGCTACTAGTGTATGGCAAACTATCACTTCAAATCACGCATTTTATTGGATCATTATTGTATAGAATGAGACTATTTATTATTGTTACAAAGATGTCACAATCACTCATAGCTAGTAGATAGTTAATTGGATGGCTTGGGGTATGCAATGAAGTTCGGAATTTTTTTTAAGTCTAGTTAATGACACAATTACAACTACCTGATTTAAAAAGCTAACGGACAAGAGTGATTGTGACTTTCTTGTAATAAAAGTAAATAATCAATGATACTCTCAGTCAAATTTATGGCAATTGAACATGTTGCTATTTTAAGAAACACAAATTATGTTAAAAATGTAGCTATGTATGGATTAAAATTATGTGGTTCCTAAGTATATTCAGATTTTCCTAAGTATATTCAGATAAAAATTAATGTTTTTCCATTTAGTAGTATGATAGTTTTACATATAAGGGCTTACATAAACTTTAATCACTGAAATTAAAAAATCCTTGTAAATTATCATTTCATTTAGAAAAATATACTATTAGTCATACTGTATCTTCTCGTAATAGTCCTAGGGCAAGCTTTCTATGCTTCCCCTACAACATAAAACTTATATACTTCCCTTTATCCAACCGTCCATTCTGAATGGACGGCTATTGTCTCAATCACAATATCATGTCTCTACACTATTTTATTTTAAATTTTTTTTTACAAACTATTTTAACACCAAATTTCGTACGTCCAGTCCTCTATTAAACTCGCACTAGGGAAAAATATAAAAAAATATTTTCAATAAAATAAAATAACCAAAATACCCTGAAAGTTTCAAGGGGTATTTTGGTCATTATATTTTATCAAAAAATTATTTTTAATATTTTTTATAGGTTCGCCCCAATGAGAAGATTGTACGTAACAAATTTCATATTCATACAATTTGTATAAAAAAAAAACTAAAAATAAAATACTTTGAGAAGTCAGATCTAAGATCAAACGGTGAGTGACTCTCTTGATCAAAATTGGATGGCTAGATGGTAGGAGAAGCATAGATCTTCTATACTATCGAAAAAGTATAGAAACCTCCCATACTCTTATATGGAGGGGAAGTATAGAAACCTTGCCGTACTCTTATATGGGAGAATTGACGGAAAGTCGTATATCGTGATAATAGCTCATAATTATAATTTTGAAGAAAAATATTTGTTTTCAAAAAAATTAAACGTTAAAATCATACAGTTGTCTTGATATATTGCAAGACAAAACATTGCACTTAATTCATCCGTATGAAATGGCAATAAAAACGAAATTTGGAACACCATCGTTAATGACTTCATGATAACGTTTTAAGAGGGACCACCAGATTGGATCACGCTTTCGAAATTTGCCTGCCCTTAGGCCGAAATGGACGGCCAATATAATTTGGAAAATATGTGAGTCAGCTGACTTAAGAGATCACTTACCAGCAAACGTCCATCTTTTAGCTGAACGTCGTCGTCTAAAAAGTGAGCACGGGCCATTATTACCTATGGACGGTGCACCAAAAACCGAATAAAATATTTGGATCCGGTTTCAATGCGGCTAAGCCCGCAAAGGTAGAAATGCAAGGCTATTAATAACTCTATTTTTGAGATGGATTTTAGGATGTAATTTTTAAGGACATGTAATCTCTAATATGGAGATCGTGAATATGAAAAAATATATAAATTTTTAAAAATAGAAATAATAATTTTAGTAAAAAAACATTTGGACCATTAGTGTCCATTGTTTTTAGATGTAGCACCTACTTGCATCCATCTTTCTATCTTTAAGATGGATGCTTTACACTTTTTGGACCGCATATGTAGTGGTCCAGCCCACACGAAACTCCAAAAAAAATTTTAATTTTAATTTTATTTTTTTCCATATTCATGATCATCTTGGCGATGTTGAATACTAAAAATTTAGATAAAAAATCTATCTTTCACATGAATTTTAAAAGGGGATGCATGTGTAAATATGAGTCGGCTGACTCATAAAAACCCCATCCATATAATTAATATTTTAGGACAGTATCACAAAAGAAACTAAAAAAGCGCAGTAACGAGAATCAGTGTCGACTCCCAACGCATATCAGGAACTATCTACTCTGTCCTTCCCTCAAATTGGGAGTTGGGCCTAAGGGTGAATAAACAAAATTAAAAGGAATTTTTAGTGATATAACTACTGTTTTTTAAATGATTCGAAGTCCTTACGTCTTTTTTAAATATTTTAAACCCTTAAATTTTTATTTTTTGATTTTTTTGAAAAAATATGTCCGAGTCGGTTGAATCGAACAGCTGATTCGGCTTGTTCAATTCGAAACCGATTGATGGCTGATTCAACCCACCAATCCTATTTCTAAAACGTTTAAAACATTGACTTTGGATTCGCTCCTCCATATTCCTATAGTTGTATTGTTGGTAAAAGACGAAAAAAAAAAAAGCAAACATGGAATTATCAATATGAACACTTCTCACCATTGCAACTGAAAATTTCGGTCGAAATTTCAGTGCATAAACCACGGTGCCAATAATGGACCCGTTGTTTCAACCGAAATTTCAGTGCATCATCGTTGTTTCAACCGAAATTTCAATGTATGACTCCAAGAATGGACCCATCTCGAGGGCCTCCAAACCCCAGAATCCACAATTTGAAAGCAATGGTAACGCTTGACTTGGTAAAAAGCAAAGACGGTAACGTCAGAGCTTGACTTGGAAAAGAGAAAGAAATTTGGAACATTCTTATGGAAAAACGCAAGGTAGATGGGGACCCCTCATGGACCCATGACCCAGTCCTCTTCCACAATTTCCAACTCAAGAATTAGATAATTTTGGGGAAGTATATAATAAGATAGTTTATTTTAATATAAAAATGTTACTATCACTTTTATTCATTAGATTAAAACACACATAAGAGATCAATTATTTAGCAATTGGACATCAACTTTATGCTCCTATAGGAGCATGCTGTACAGTAACTCCCTTGGGGAAAAAAGTGAGTTAGGAAGATTTTGTTTATCGGAAATTCGTTGATCCACTTAAGCATGACTAGATGATTATTTCCAATGAAAAAAAAGTTGGATTTTAACTTCTTGAACAACTAGATCTTTTTTTTTTGAAAGCCGTCCAAAAATTTTATTGATCACAAGAAAGAGATTACATCATTGGAAATAGTAAGAGAGGCAAGAGAAACACCACCTTTAGCTAATGTATTAAGAATACTGTAAATATAAAAAAAAGAATAGAAATAAAAGAGGTAACATCTAAAATCTTCAACCATGAAGAACGAAGTTCCTATGGTATCTACTGCTCCTTTCTACACCAATAGATCACATTCATAGGATCTCCTTCAATCAAACACGAGAATCCCATGTTCCTCTCAATAAAAATCCCCACCCTTGTAAGCACAACATATAATTCCACCAAATTAGATGTGGCCATGCCAATTGGACCCGCATAGGACAGAAAGACATTACCAGAGAAATCTCGAAACACCCCACCAATTTCGGAGGGCTGGATTTTCAAAGGACCTCCCATCAACTCGATCTTGACCTCCCAAAATTGGATGTTGTTCAACTTTGAGATGTTAATTTTTTTTTTAAGGTACAGAGAGAGGCATATTTTAAGTGATTTTGCCTATGAGATTGGTTATTAAACGTTACATCGCCAAAATTTGGGTCCAAAAGATGTTCATTTTACCTGGGGGAGCAAATCAACAGTATGCTCCCATGGTAGCAAAAATACTTGTCAGTTCACTTTTTATTAATATCTTTTGATGTAATTTCGGAATACCCATCATAATGCACAATCATACTACCCATGACCATGAATTATAATAGTTGAAAAATGGCAAGCTGCTAAATTGTTTTAAAGAGAGGTATATTTTTACGGGAAAAGTGTACGTAGAGCCTAGGATCTTAACAGTTAAATTAGAGCCCAGCTAAAAAATTTCACCGGAAGAGGTTGTTTTGACGTCCAAATATCTTCAAATTGATCAACGCGATATCAAGATGCATAAATTTGAGAAAAAAATGGATTTCAAGTTTTGGAAATAATGCATCTTATAACGCGTTTGTTGATCAACGCGATATCAAGATGTATAGATTTGAGAAAAAAATGGATTTCAAGTTTTGGAAATAATGCATCTTATAACGCGTTTTTTGACGGTCAATTTATAAGTTATTACAAAGTTTTAAAGTTATTACAAAGATTTTAAGTATGGAAACCACATTTCTTGGCATTATTTGAATGTGGGCTATAATTTCATTGTTTAGAGCCTCGGCTTTTATAGGAAAAAGTTTATATAGAGCCAAGGCTCTAAACAATCAAATTAGAGCCCACTTAAAAAATTTCACTCGAATATCCTCAAATTGATCATCATGGACGTGAGAAAAAAAAAGATTTTAAGTTCTGGATATAGTGTATCTTGTAATGCATTTTTTGACGGTCAATTTTCAAGATTTTCAAGTTTTCATATATATGCTCGATCTACACTATTTTAGAAGCGTTAAATTTCATAATTAAAGATGAAAATATATTTCAAAGCTATCACAAAGATTTCCAGTATTAAAACCACATTTCTCGTTACTATTTGAAGGTGCGTTTTACTTTGATTGTTTAGAGCCTCAGCTTTATAGGTATCGCACCCATTTTATAATTTCTTTTTTTTTTTACTCGTTTGATTTTATACCGAACCGCTAGGAATGATTGCGACCTCTTTCTATAAATAAATAAATAAATAAATAAAAAATCGCCTCAAAAATAGGATTAGTGTAGGACACGCGTACAGTCCATGTGAAGTGAGTCTACAGAGTGAGAGTGTGGAGTCGTCGATGGGTCTCTCACTCTGGTCTTCTCTCATAAGCGCGTGGGTCCCCAATTCCACCACTTGCTTTGTATAAGAAGGGGAAGAAGGAAACCCAGTGGAAACAAAAACAAACAAGCATTTAGTGTGATGGCTGAATTGGAGCTTCCAGGATTTAGGTTTCACCCAACAGAGGAGGAGATTCTTGGCTTCTATCTTAAGAGAGTTGCATTAGGAAACAGCCTCCAATTTGATATAATTGGGACCCTAGATCTGTACCGCCATGACCCATGGGAGTTACCTGGTAATAAATCCTCTCTCTCTTTCTCTTTCTCTTTCTTTTTCAAAATAACTCTACGCGAAAGTTTTTCGGATAATACTACTACTTTTCCTTGTTTGTTTCACGGATTCGTGCCTTCCGACACCTAAAGAGGCGCGCTCCATGCATGAGAGTGGAAAAGCTCTTTCCAGAGAAGAGAGCTTTCCGCCCAAACAAACATACCCCTCTCACTCTCTCTCCTGCACACATTCAAAATTTATAGGTTTAGAAACCCTCAACCACACCAGACACAACAAGCACTGGGTGAACACCTCTCTCTGAGTGCACATAGTAATGAATGATTGTGCATAATTTCTTTCAGCATTGGCGAATATTGGAGAGAGAGAGTGGTACTTCTTCGTTCCGCGAGATAGGAAGCATCCGAATGGAGGAAGGCCAAACAGGATTACCAAGAATGGTTTTTGGAAAGCCACAGGTTCAGACAGGCGTATAAGGAGCGGGTCAGACCCGAAATGCGTATTGGGGCTTAAAAAGACCCTTGTGTTCTACACAGGACGAGCTCCCAAGGGCTGCAAGACCGATTGGGTCATGAACGAGTATAGACTACTGGAATCTTATCCTGTGCCCAAGGTAGAGAATCTTAAATTTGATTTGTGCAGGATAATTTTTCTTCTTCATATCCCTTATTTCTTTCTCTTGGTTTTCATTGTTTAATATAAGTAGATGGCTTGTTCTTCATTTGTAATAACTAATGACTGAACTCCAACTGTGCAATCCAGAAGGACATAGTGATGTGCAAGATTTACAGAAAGGTGACATCGCTGAAGGTCTTGGAGCAACGAGCGGCGATGGAGAAAGACAAGGCCACACCTCCACAAAGTGGTTGTGTCACTCCCGCCCACGCGACGCCTTCTCCTTCTTATCACGAGGTTGATACCGAAAACCAGGCCAACTATGCCCGAATGGAAACCAGCGATGTGAAGGAGGAAGCTGAGACTGCAAGCACAACTCATGAGAAGCAAGAAGAAAGGCCAAGGTTAGCAGAGCTTCAGATGCCCAAACTATGCATGGACTGGATGCATGACCCTGCCTTCACCCAATTGCGCAGCCCCTGGGGAGAATTGCTCCTAACTCCATACCCCAGCTTACTCAACTTTTGAGACCTAATCAAACTCACCAATAACTTCGACATTCTTCCACAACTTCAAGTTTGGTTCTCCATTAATGACCTGTGTTTTCTTTCTTTTTCTTGCTCTTTTTCTGTTTTTGAAGATTTTGGGATTTTCTTTTTTTTTTCTTTTTTCTTTTTAAACTGGGGGTTTAGCTTATGGACAGGAATCGAATTTGAGATACAGCGTTGCTAAATGTCACTTGATAAGTACCTCATTATCGATCGACCCACCAATAAACAAAAAAAACATAGGGTTCTCTGAGGTCTAGTATGGACCCGAGGGTCTCGTCCTTCTCGTATCTACCGGTGCCTGTTACATGTTTTTGTCGGTTGTTTGGTGAGCTCAAATTCTGTATTTATAAATTAAAGGGATGACTTGTATAAAAAGTCTTGGTGGTCTATAGTGTGAGAGGAATGAGATGTTGACCAACCCATTTGTGAATGGAAATTAGTGGTGTTGCAATCATGTCAGTTCATGAATTTGATCTTGGAACCTTACTCGCAGTTTCGCTTCTTTTTGAGGAAATAAGGCTTAGTTTGATTGTATTGATTGAATCAAGAAGATGTGTGATTTTTTTTGGTGAATCGAGGGGCACATTGTGGCGTTTTTCAAATAAAAGAGGTTAAAAAAACAGAGTGGAGTAAACTCCCAAAGAGTTCCATATCTCCCCTATGTTTTAAACAAATTAAATAGGTTTAATCATGATTAGAGCGGTCCAAATGAGAGAGAGAGATTTGACTCGAGATCGGTTTTGCATCGGGTCAGTCGGACCCGACCTGAAATCAATTTGTACATTTAAAAAGGACGAAGTTTTTTTAGGGCCTAGGCTTTATGAAAAGAAAATAACGTCTCGCCTCAAATTTTGATCCAAAAAGAACTTTTGGCAATAGAAATATTCATGATGGTTTTAAATCAATTTTCAATACCGACAATAAAATTTGAAATTAAAAAAATAGTACCAATCTTGTGAATCTACGAACACTTATTTTTAAGGTGCGATTGATGGTCTAGGTAATTTGTTATAATATACATTACTTTTAGAACTTGAAATTCTAATTTTTTTTTACAACCAATATGTTCAAGCCAAGATGATCGATATAAAGTTTTGTCAATGCTTGAATTATAATTTTTGATGATTTATGAAGTGAGGATTTACATATTTTGATAAGACTGCAGTCCTATAGAACCTTTTTTAATTAAAAAATATATATTTAACTCAAGAAACAAAGAGAGGAACTACTTGGATTCATACCCGGACCAGTATCGGGTCCAGGCTATTTGAACCCAGACCCAACCTGTCGGTTTCAAACCCTGGACCAATACGCAGACCCAGAACTATCTGGACCTGGACCAATATCGGGTCCAGGCTATCGAACCCAGAACTGCCCTGTCGGGACCAAACGTTGGAGCAATACCCAGACTTGGGGTCGGGTCTCTGGTGCACGTGTCCCATTGCCACTTAGAAATTGTTTTGAGAAAATTACAGAAAAATCCGTTATACTTTGCGTTATTGCTGGTATACCAAATAGTTTCTGTTATTATATGTATATCCGTTTTTTACTTTTTATAACGTAATTTTAAAAAAAATACTACTTTACTATTTTTCGGATGTTGAACATTCGAATTGGTGCATCCGAAAATAGGCCAAAAGTTAAACGTTAAATTTCCTATTTTTGGATGCTGAACATCCGGAATTAAGGAATTTTCGGATGTTCAACATCCGAAAATACCCCGATAGTTTAACGTTAAATATAATATTTACGGATGTTGAACATTCGAATTTAAGAGATTTTCGGATGTTCAACATCCGAAAACAAAGAAAACGAATGTTTATTTAACTATCGGGGTATTTTCGGATATTGAACATTCGAAATCTCTTAAATTCGGATATTCAACATCCGAAAATGTTATCCTTAACGTTCAACAATATGGATATTTTCGGATGTTGAACATCCGAAAATAGGAAATTTCACGTTTAACTTTCGGTCTAGTTTCGGATGTTGAATGTCCGAAAAAGGGTAAGTAGTTTTTTTAAAAAAATTACATTATAAAAAATAAAAATCAGATATACATGTAATAACATAAACTATTTGATATATCCGTAATAACGTAAAGAATAATGGATTTTTATGTAATTTTTTCAATTGTTTTTGTTGGTGAGAATTCCATTAAGGTTTTTCCATGATAACTATGTTTGGAACGTTGACCGAGATGTGAGAGTTAGAAGGAGAAACTTGGAAAGCATTAGCTGAAGTAGTATCATCATTCTGGACTTATTTGAAAAGGCGTTTAACTTGTTTGTGTTAATTATTAACGAGTTGCTGTAATCTTCAGGGGACATTTCTCACCCGTCCAATAACTTCAAGACCTTACAAAAAGTTCCTTAGTTAGAATATAGCCTTAAACAGACTATGTTAAAAACTTGAAGTCCACTACTGAATAAATGTAATGAGTGATAGAAGAACAAGATAATGGTCGAAGAGAAAGGAAATCAATAATGGTATGGCTTTCGGTCTGACCCCACCCGTATATGCGATCGTGGTTTCAGCCATCAGATCTAAGTAGATGGCTGAAATGGCTTGAGTCACAATGTCACAAGTTAGCATTTAATCGTTAGATTTTAATCAGACGGCTCACGGTGTTTTACTTTTTCTTTTATCTTAGAAATAATTTTGAAGCAAAATTTGGGACATGCATAGATTTGACAAGGAAACACATGATAAAAATATTTAAAAAATATTTCTAGTGATGAAAAATTCTAAAATACCTCTGAAAATTACAGGGCATTTTTGGTCATTTATCTTTACATAATTTTTTATTTTTTTTTTGCCTTTTCAAGTTCGCTCTAATTTTCTTACGGGACACCCAAAAATTCATCAAAAATGTTTTGTAGAAAAAATGGAAAATAAAACAGTATTTGACATTGTGGTATGAACAATCGTAGCCATTCGAGGTAAAAAGTAGGGTCACCTATAACTTTTATGTTATTGGGGTCACATAGAAACATTTCTTATCAATAATTTATGTAAGCAGAGATGATTAGAAACAAAAATAACTCAAAGACCAAAAGTAACTAATAATAGAATTCTACCATACTTATATAATAAAGAAAATTACAAATAACCCTAAGAAATAGACTTCCTATACAATTTACCCCCAACCAAACTTTTTTTCTACTTTTTTCACCCAAATTTGACTTTCCTAGCAAATACCCCCAAGTCATAAAAAAGGTAAAATGAAGACCAAAATACCCTCTGGAAAGCATTATGTCCCGCACAAAATGGGGGCCGTCAGGCACTTTGCTTCTGGAAAGCATGCAGTCCGGCTCAAAATAGGGGCGGTCCGGCACTTTGGGCATGCGATCCGGCACAACATGGGGGCGGTTCCGTACTTTGTTTTTCGAAAACATGTGGTCCGACACAAAATAAGGGCAGCCTGGCACAAAATTGAGGCGGTTCGGCACCATGGGCTTTTGGAAAGCATCCGGTCCGACACAAAATAGGGGCGGTGTGGTGCTTTGGGCATGCGGTCCAGCACTATGGGCATCTTTGTTAAAAAAATATGACCTTTTTGACTTGCGGGGGTATTTGCTAGAAAAGTACAAATTGGGGTAAAAGTTACTAAATTTTTTTTGTTGCGGGTAGGTTATCAAGTGGAACTTAAATTATTGATGTTTATGCATCCCAAAAAATTATGCGAAAATATAGTTGTGAGCATTTAGAGATGGGTACGGTTTGTATAGAGCCGTGGCGCTAAACAATCAAATTAGAGCCCAATAGTATCGAGAAATGTGGTTTGAATATTAGAAATATTTGTGATAGCCTCAAAATATATTTTTATCTTTAATTATAAAATTTAAAGCTCCGAAAATAGTATAGATCGAGTAGATCTATGAACACTTGAAAATCTTGAAAATTGATAGTAAAAAAATACGTTACAAGATGTGCTATTTCCAAAACTTGAAATCTATTTTTTTCTCATGTCCATGCATCTTGATGTCGAGATAATTAGTTTGAGGATATTTGAGCATCAAAACAACCTCTTCTAGTAAAATTTTTGAGGTGGGCTCTAGTTTGATTGTTTTGAGCTTTCATTGGATTGTTTAGAGCCTCGGCTCTATATAAACTTTTCCCTTCAGAGATGGACCAAGTCTTTATGTGATCTGGCCCACACTTAGTTTAGTGCGGTCTCTAAAATTCAGGCCGTCCATTGAACTTAGAGCAGGTGATTCCTGAATTCCAAGGTAGGGCAATCGGGTAACCGGAACCCTAAAATAACGTGGGGCATGTTGTCATTAAATAAAGCTAAAATGCCACGCGTCAAAAATCCTATAGGTGTTTGTACATTGAAGCCACAGTTCATGCCCTATTTTTCGGCATTTTTTATTTAAATATATGTAGAGAGAGAGAGATTAACAAGAGAGCTGCTTCGGTGTGAAGAAACACGCACCCATTTGTTTTGAACGAACAAAAGTTGCCTTTTTTTCATTTCCTGAAAATTAAAAAATGTTGTACAAAAGCCAAGAGAGAACCATAAAAAGGGGGCCACATGAAATATCTAGAGGAGACCTAGACCTCATTTCTACCAAAGGAGAGCAAAATGTTTTGCATCAAATGTAAATATCATTAGATACTAAAGCTCAAGAAAAAACAAACAAGAAAAGACTTGGAATGTAAAAAGACAACACGCGTTCAAAAAATGAAATGCTCTCGGTCTTCCTTTTTGTTTTAGATGAACTTAGAAGATCACTCCTTCATGCCTGTGTGGATTTAATCACTTGGGCCCAAGACTCCTAGCATGCACCCGCCGCCTCACTGTATTTATTTGCATTGTCCCATGTACCGCAATCTCTACATCAGAAACAAAGGGAGCCAGCGAGAACCCCCGACACATCAAAGAAACCTGCACCCATTTCCTACAAAGAAAAATACATACCTCCTCTCTAGAGAGAGAGCCCTTAATTTGCATATCAACCCTTCAAAAAACTGAGGATCATAGGAACAAATTTCTTAGAGAGGCAAAAATTTTGAGAGAGATAAAAAAGGTATAAGTTTGACAGAGGAAGGCGTCGAGTTGCCGTGGAGAGATATTTAGACACAGTAACAAGGCCTTTGGAACTCGTGGGAGAGGAGAAGTTAAAGTTTAGGTGATGAGACGTTTTTGGAACTCTAAGAGGTAGAGACCGCGCCTACGCGTGATAAATTTAGGTTGCCAAGGAATCTGGATCATTCAATTATTTGTACGTTGTTGATACCTAACCCATATAGTAACAGTTGCGGCCATGGACGTACCAAACAATTTTCCACTTAACTTATGCCCCTAGTATTATCCTTTTCAAATGTTTTTAAACTATGCTTTGACATAATTTTCTATGATGTAGAAATAATGACCTAACATTATATATTTATAATATTTATCATTATTTTTCCTTTGACACTTTTTAAAGGGAAAATAACGTATATATT